CAGGGAGGGGGCAGAGTTGGGGCGTGGACTTTGCGGAAGGGGTTGGAATGGGGGGGCGGGGCCAGGAGCAGGGAAAGGGTGGAGTCGGGGCGGGGCCAGGGGTGGGGGGGGGCACGAGCACCAACCGGCGCTTTTTGACTCCCATGCTCAATTTGTTCTCTATGGTGCTCCGGTGGGGCAGGACACCTGCTGACTCGGCAGTGCCCCCGCTGGAGAGGGTCAGGACTGCAGGCAGTGTCATCGTCCCCCAGCAGGCAGGTGCACCCAAATCTGGCTCTCACAGCTGCCTGTCGCGGCTGGGAAACGTTTCCCTCTGCAGCCTGAGACTGTAATAACTCACAACAAAACCAAAGGCTGCAGGAAGAGACCATTTCCCTGTGGCGGGGCCAGCGGGACACGCCCCGAGGTGTGGGGTCCTGTTGGCATGTGTCCCCCCTGGCTAGACAGTCCCTGACCGCTCCCATCAGCGTTAATGGCAGCTCTGCAGGTAGCCCCATGGTCAGGAGTACGAAGACTCCTCTCCTCCTCCAGGCCTGGCCAGCGTCGCACGTCCCCAAGCGAACGAGGGCAGTGGGAAGGGGCAGCCGTGCGGATTCTTTGCCCTACGTCGCCCACGGGGGGACGGAGCTGCCAGCTGAGCCCCATTCGAGTGTGCCCAGGCCCCACTAATTTTAGTCATTGTGTTAGCGAAGGGCTTTTAATTAGTATCCCCAGCTGTCGGGATTTTTCGCTCTCTAATTAGAAATGACCTGGCAGGGAGCTGGCTAACATTCTGTTCCCCTCCAATCCCGTATTTATAACCTGGCTTTTAACGTTCGAATTAAAAAGGATATTTTGTTTGTACGAGGGGAGGGAGATTTTAACGGAGCCGGACAATCCCCCGGCTCCTCCCGCCCCCTGTCTCCTCCAAGACTAACAAACCTGCCGTTCCCCTTCCATGTCTGGGAAGATAAATTGCCACGTAGAAATGCACGGCCGGCCCCCTGAGCCCCCAGGAGAGGTTCTGAATGTGCAACATGCACCCAGGACAATGCCTGTCCCCTGGGAAATAAATATTCTTGTCCTTTGAAGCACCTGGATGTGATTATTTTGCAGGCTGCTTTAGGGAATAGTCACATTTAAAAAAGCCCAAGGGTCTTGCCAAGCAGAGCGTGCCCATCACCGCCTAGCTGCTAGGATCAGGGCATGTCACCCGCCTTTTCCCCTTGAAACGCAGCCTCCCGCAGACAGGTGGTTGGCACAGGCCACGCCCGGGCATGAAAGGGACGATGGGCACAGTGGGCGCCGACGCATAGGAGTGGTTTCCTCAGAGGGAAGGAGCCAGCTGCAGCCCCCCTTGGCTTTAAGGGGTGTTGCTGGTGGCTCAGCACCTCTGGGGATTTGGCCTGTGCTAACAAGGCCCCGGCAGAGAGTGGCTGGTGGAGGGGAAGAGAGGAGAGTGAGCAGCGCTGAGGGGGGCGGAGTGCAGACGGCAAAGCTGGAGGACGGAGAAGGAAAGGAGAAGCCATGGTCAGTGATCCACACAGCCGCACTAGCAGGCCGGTGGCCACTCCGGTCCCTTTGGGGACAGCTGAAGGGCACAAAGCAAAACCCCAGACCCAGGGCTGGGGGAAGTGCAGCTCTGGGTCCAGGCTGGGCCGCACAACCCCAGGCCCACTTTGCGGTGTCCCAGGAGCATGCTGCTCAAGAAGCTATTGATGTGGGGACCTGCAGGTTGCTCTGAGGCCTAGTTCAGCACATGGGTGTTACCCCTTCCCAGTAGCCGCTTCCCAGACCATGTCCCCAGCCCCGTTTGAACCGAACTGGATTTGAATCGGGCCAGCGGCGTCGCTGACCTTCCGGACACCCATTTACTCCTGACTCGTGCTGCCCTGCATAAGAATTGATAGACGCATGGGCGGCGATATAGACCCCCATTCCCCATTCATTCCAATGGGAGTAGAGCACCCAATCCTTCAGATGGCTTTGAACTTCTCAGCCCGAAGGGAAGGAAATGTTCCCGCAATGCCCGATCTCCGTGAGTCGGCGGGAAAAACTCCATCAGCACCAGTGGCAGCGGAATGGGCCCTGAGGATGTACGTGCCAAGCCAGCTAGCGCGCGTGCCCCGCTGCCCTGCAAAGCATGGTCCACGTATCCGGAGCAGCGGCCATCAGTTCTCTCCAGTGGGCGACCACGTGTAGGCTGCGACGTTGGCTCACCAGCTAGGGGGTGTGGTTTAGCGGCTTGTCATCCAGATGGGCCAGAGGTTCTAATGTGGGCCGCCCCGTCCCTTCTCTTGCCCCCGTGAGCCGGATCCCGTTGCTGGGTATGCCGTTGTCTCACGATCCTGGCAGCTCTCTCATGCACATTCTCTCTTTCTGACCCAACAGGCTCTTCGGCTTTGTGGCCAGGAAGCAGGGAAGCACAACGGACAACATTTGTCACCTCTTCGCCGAGCAGGATCCTGACCAGCCGGCCGCCGCCATCGTCAATTTCGTGTCAAGGGTCATGCTTGGCTCCGGCCAGAAGAGATGAACCGCTGGACACGGGTAGTTCTTGCCCTTGAATTTTGGAGAAGGACTTGGAGTTGATCCGAGAAGGAGCGCGAGGAAGTGCATTGTGGGAGAGGGAAGTGAATCGGGGGGAAACGGTCTGAATTGCGGAAGAAAAAAACCCTCACCCAATCGTAATGTAACAAAACAAAACTAAAGGAAGCGACGTCAGCGCATTTCCCGTCGCAGGGAATGCGACCAGCGCCACCGCCAGGAGTCGGAGGAGTGGAACCGGGTTGGCTTTTGGATAAGCGTCCCCATGGGGGGGTTCAAGTGGCGAATTCATCCCGGGTCATAGTGGGGACGTTCGCGGCCCTGCTAACCAACAACTCTGTTTGCAAATGTCAGTCGTTTGTTTTAAATAACCGTGGCTAACCGATCGAACAAAAGGCAGGTCTGCAGGACCCCCCCGCTCCCCTCCCCAGGGACTTACCCATTGGGACAGCTTACCAAGGGCAGTGGTGGGCTTTCTCCATCACTGGCAATTTTAAAATCAAGCTGAGGTGTTTTGCTAAGAGATCTGCTCTGGTTCGAAGAGGAATGAATTCAGGCAGATCTCTGGCCCGTGTTACGCAGGAGGTCAGACTGGAGCTCAGTGGTCCATTCTGGCCTTATGACCTATGTGCTAGAGCAGTGGTTTTCTACCAGTGCTCCGCAGACCCCGGGGGGTGGGTGGGGGTCTGCAGACTATGTCTAAGATTTCCAAAGGGGTCCGCACCTCCATTTGAAATTTTTTAGGGGTCCGCAAATGAAAACCAGTTGAAAACCACTGTGCTCGAGTGATCAGGCAGGAAAACAAAGGATGGTCAATATCCCTTTTAACCTTCCCTTCTCTGAGGTCTGCGACTCCTGTGTAGATGACGTGTGTGTGGGGATGTGTCATACATGTACATTCACAGCAGTGGGGTTTATATAAAGCCGATGCCCCCTAGCGACTCCCTTTGGTCTCTGTGCTGCACACCCAGCCCATCAGGATTTCCTGGCAGCAGAAGGGAGAGAATTCAGATCCTCCTGCTCCAAAAAAGCACAGGACCGTGGCCGCTTGAGCGAAAGGGGACGCGCTGGTTAGCGGTATGGGATCTATGACACATAGGTGCGCAGTTCTGATTCCATCCAGTACCGGGCGGTGGTGACGCATACACACTAGGCAGTTCTTATAGACGCACAGAGTTGCATAGCAGTTTGCCGTTCACTAACTGCACTCAGGACCATGCTTTCCAAAGATCATCTTCCCCAGGAAGATCTTCTGGCCTATATACAATGGGGCCTGCGGTACCAGTCCTTTACCCTGTATTTTCACCCGCAGACTGTCACGTGTTCTCTTAAAGACGAACATACCGGAAGCGGACACAGGTCTGGTCGAGCCTGGTCTCTTCTCCTTCTGTAGGCGGTCAAGCGATTTGTTCATCGCACGGACATTTGGTTGCACGAAAGGCAAATAAGTATAAAGAAAACTCAGGCATTTTTGGAGGCCACTAAAAGAAAAGCCCCTGCGGTCTGTGGGTGGCTTTGGTTCAGCCTGGTTCTCTCAGCTGATCCAAAAGCCGAGAGATCTCACGGCCGGATTTGGTCCTCCGATGCTCTGCCCTGCGGAGGCTTGGAGCTCGGAATGTGTTGTAGTTTAGTAACCACCTAGTAGGCGTAAGCTTTGCTTTGGCTTCAGGAGGCCATAGGCCCTAGACCTTGCACTGAAATGCTAACTCACAAGAGCTATCGACTAGCCTTGCCAATATCAGCTCTGTCAGAGGAAGGTGTAAAACCTGCATCATTTTAGCTGGCCAACTACACAACCATTCCCCAGGGAGAAGGCAAAACATCTCTTAACTGCCTGGACTTTCCTCTGGTGGCTCCTATCTCACCCGAGCTACACGGAGTCAGATGTTAACGACAGATCGCCCCATGGGGCCCAGTGTGGAGTCAGTGAGAGGACAAGAGCCCTGTATCTGTGGGTAATGCAGGAGGCAGGATAGCAGATTGGATGGGCCAACGCGTTCTTCCCGTGTGCTAAATCTTATGGGTGTATTTTTCTTTTTTTATGCTTAGTTCAAGCTAGAGCTGAGACCCAAGCTATGAACAGCCCCCTCTCCCTGCTCCCCCCCCCAAGCCCAAACACTCCCCAGCTCTGGGGGCGTTCCAAACCCAGATCTCCATGGAGCTATAGCTTGTGCCCAGCTCTGGGGAACCCTACACATTTGCATTGACAACCAATCTCCCAAGCATCTTTCTGGGGCTTTTGGAACATGCAGTAACCAGCCTGACTTGTTCAGATATGGTCAGAGGTGTTAGGGGCTGCGGGAAGCAGGAGAGATGGGCCTTTTCCTGTTTGTGCTACATTTCAGTGCAAGGTTGTGTGATACAGGCTGTTAATAAAACCAAAAACCACCCAAGATCTAGAAACCAGCTAAAATATTGCAACCACCTGGATTCCCCCAGAGCACTCTGCTCTCTCATACAGAGGCAGTGTCCTGATATATATAATATATATATGAAATATACTGAAAAATACTGTAAGCTAATCAAATTTTTAAAAAGGGTTAAATTTACACAAAAATATTTATTTTTTTGCCATATTGCTTTATGTGTATCTTATCTCCTCCATTATATACGGCCCCCACCCTGTCCCCATATAGACTCTTGTACGTATAACTCACAGTAGAGTGTAACAGACAAACGTGGTTTATTTCGGTTATACTAGCGACATGGGCAAGAGAGCGCAGTGCCCCTTTAGACCCCGCCCCCCCAAGAAGCAACGCGTATGATTGGTCCCCCACCTCTAACCCCCACCCCCTTTCCCTGTTGAACATGGAAATTTGCTAGCGCCTGGAGCAAATTAGCGTGTGAGTTTGAAACCGTTGCCAAGTGACACGAGGGTTGGCGGCGTGCGCGGATGTGTGTGAGTGAGTGTGTGTGAGGGCCACAGCTGCGTGAGCATGCGGAGGGCTCTTTCGTTTCTGGATACCGGATGAGGGTTAGATTTGCGTCAGGGAGGTGTTGGGAGACTGGTACTGGGATGGGGTGGGAGTGGTCAGGGCCCTTTGTTCCAGCCCACCCCGTTGTATAGGACGTCGAGCTATTTTTATTTTAAGTTGTTGAAAAGAAATGCCCTCCTTCTGCAAAATTCAAGCAAGAGGAACCCCTCACTTGTAACCTTCTCACCCTGCCATTAACCGATTAGACGAACACTGTGTTTATAGATATTTAAATATATAAAGGTCTATTTTTTGAAAGTCTCTATTTTTCAGACTTCAGTTTTCTCACAGCTAAAGCTAATGTTATTATTTTTGTTTTAATCTGCTGTCCTGCCCCGGGAATTGGGGCCTGAGCCTTAAAGGCGTATTTTCCCCCCCATAAAATGAACCCCTATTAAGGCATCGAGCAATCTCGTCTATAAAACGATCACAGCAGATACCTGATAATGACAGAACACTTGCTTCCAGCTGTGGCCGGCAACGGCTCACTACTAACTCACGAGCTGAAAGACGGAAGGTTTAGACCTTGTCAGATGCTCTAATGCTAAAATCACCATTGATATAATTTTAACACAAAGCGAATCATCTTGCAAATGACATAGGCAGGTGTTTTCCAGCTTCCATTTAAGACCTTTTTTTAAAAAAACAGTTGCATTTTATGGGTAACTTCTTTCTGTCATCCCTGATTTCCCGAGCCAGACCATCAGCTTGTGTAAATCCACTGATCTCTGTGAAGTTACTAAGCCAGGCAAAAACCTGGCTTCACCGGCCAAGGTTTATATTTTTCTTTCCTAAAGGGTCCGAGAAGATTCTTTGTGTTTTAAAAATGCAGTCACAGTATTTGAGCTTGATGCAGATGCAATTTATCCCAGCGGATGTATCCTAATAATCACACTGCGGTTTTTTTCAGCAGCGGATGTTATATCTCCCCCACACACGCAGACACTCACACCTTCTCCATGCACAAGGAACTGCATATATTCTTGCCAAAGATATCCTTTAAAATGCACTTTCCCCAGCCGGTTTTATTTTGTTTTGTAAATTGATTGTATGTGCTCTTTCCCCCTCCCTGCCAAGAACCCCTTTGCTGTCGATTTTGTTGTGTGTATTCGTAAACTCTGATTCCCGGAGCGCCCGACTGTTGTTAATTTTATGTAACTCTATATTCCAATAGAGTCGGAGATTCTTAAAATAGTTGACACAAGATATCCTGATTTCTTTAGCCGCAGACTGAGTGATGACAGCAACAGGTCAGTCAATTCTCGTCACCCCTCTCCTGGCCTTCCCTTCTCAAACCCCTTCGTAAAAGAACCCCGGAGACCAAGCAACATGCTGTAGTTGCTTGTGTCTGGTGGCATTTCAAACAAACTGCTATTTATGTCTCCTCCATATCTTACTGCTCAAGAAACTCCCTCCCCACCTCCCCCAGAAAGGGATATTGGAATGTCTTTGGGCTTCTGATCCAACGGGTGTCTTCCCATTGACTTACGAGCTTTGACTCAGAATCTGAAATCTACAAACATCCACTAAGCGCATTGTCATCCTTCAGTCCGAATGTCCTTTCATGGGATCGGATCCAAATTGTACCTAGCTCCCTATTTACCAACTGGCTAACCAACAACGCCCCAAACTTCAGACAATTTTGGCTCTACATCCAGGGTGTGTCATTGGCCATCATCGCATTGATCAGTACACTGGCATTGAATAACCCAGAATCAAAACACTGGCTCTAGGCTTTGGGGTCTCTCCTGGAGCTCTTGTGAAGTTTGATATAAAAACAGAATCGGTTTAAGACCGCGTCCATTCCTGGAACTGAACCGGTTCTGAGTTTCAATAAACGCAGAACCTTCCCCACTGCATCCATGCCCTCTTCTCCCGTTTCCACGCGGCCCTCTTTCCTAGCTGTGGCTGGGATTGGAGCTGCTGGCAGAAAAGCTCTTCTCACTGCAGAACCCAGCACATTCTTGTGAGGTTCCTGAGTCCAGTTTTTCAGCGTAACGAGGCTTGGGTGAAGGAATTGAACTGTTGGGAGCTTATCGGAACCAAACCAGTTTAGAGATTTGCCCTGCACTGGTTAATGTCTTTCCACTCTGTTCCTTCCCCGCACCCAACTCTGGTAATGCAAACAGGAACTACACACATACAACAAGACAAGTCAACTTAACACAAGCCTCCCGCCCTCCCGCCATTCATCCACATAATGGGGCTACATTTGACACTGACTCCCCCCACCCCCGTACAAATGAGCTGCCCCAAACTAGAGGTCAGAGCAGTCCATTTGAATCCTGAGTCACCTGAATCGGTATGCCTTTGTTTTCCCGTCTACAATATGGACATAACACCTTCCCCCATACCGGGATTTGGGGCTGATCCTGATCACACTGGTGCAGATCCTAAATCCTCGAGGTTAATGTTTGTAAAGCACGCGGCGTGCCGCCTTTAAAAGGCGCTGCAGGTGTGTAAAGTATTATTTAAACAAACCCTCCGTCTCATCAATAATCAAAAACCTGCTAATCAAACCGACAGGAAAATCGTGCAGCAAAGTGGGCTGGTATTTTTTGTTTTCCAAACTCGATGGTTGTTTTTTTTGTTCGTTTTTAAAAAATCACTCTTTTTTCCAATATTTCATTTGCTGTTGTGTTGCTACCATTGTCGATTTGGGAATGTTACACATGTATTTGCTAATCAGTGTTAACGAACAGTTTCAAATAACTTGCCTTCAGTTTGCATCGTGTCAGGTTTTTAAAAAAAACGTAAGAAACACAAAAGAGGAAAAGGAGAATTTCCCATTTTGGTGTATTTATAGCAATGGAAATATACTTTATGTTTTTCATCTTTGTGCCCATAACTTTATCACTTGTATAAAGGCGACCTATGTTACTCATTGTCCATGTGTGAATGTGCACTACACCCCTCCCCTCGCCTTTGTTCCTCTCCTTTGTACAGAGGGCTGATTCTTTGCAGTTCATTGTATGGCTTTATAAGCGATAAAAGAATCAATTATATGTAATATACTGTTGCTTGGAATGCCAGCTCGGTGTCTGGATCGCTGGACTTGTATCTCAAAATTTACGGGCGTGCGGGAATAAATGCTCTGTTCTTTTTGCACAGGGAAATCTATACGGTGACTGTGTTTGCTCCTGCCTCAGTTGCTTCTCCCCTTCCTAGGTGGAAACGTGGTGCCATGGGCTTGACGATTGAGGGCGGGTGCATGGGGATGTAATGATTCATGATCCATTGTCCCTCTTAAACGGGCGACGTCTTTTAAAGAAAACGGCTACAACTCCAGACAGAAACAAACAGTCGCTTGTGCGACTTGACTTCCAGCATGGTCTCACATTGTTTACCAGGGACATCACCCTGCCTGGAATGCTTCAGCTCACAGCAGCATCTGGTGGCTAAATAACATACTGCAAGTAAACATAATGCCATGATGTTTGACCGGGCCCGCAAAGTGGCTCCCACGGCTACTGCCCCCCCACCTCCAAGCACACACTTTGCCTACACTCCCCCGAAGTTTCCACATAATCCTGCTCCAACTTTGATAGCAGCCGTCCTTCTCCCCACAAGGCAGCGTGGCCACCCTCTCTACCTTCCCTTTCCCCATGCCCTTGCTAGCTACACCTTCCCACTCTGCTTTGTCCCTTCCTGACCCACTGCCCCTGCTGAATGTTCCCCCATTTCCCCTCTCCACAGCCGGGGCCAACCAGAAGGAAAAGGTGGAGGAGAACTGGACGGAGCTGCCCAGGCTCTGTACCTGCCGTGAAGCTATCCTGCTGGCCCTGCGGCCATTAGGGCCCAGATCCTCAAAGGGATTCAGGCTCCTAACTTCCATTAAAATCATAGAATATCAGGGTTGGAAGGGACCTCAGGAGGTCATCTAGTCCCACCCCCTGCTCAAAGCAGGACCAATTCCCAACTAAATCATCCCAGCCAGGGCTTTGTCAAGCCGGGCCTTAAAAACCTCTAAGGATGGAGATTCCACCACCTCCCTAGGGAACCCATTCCAGTGCTTCACCAAAATCCATGGGAGTTAGGAGCCTAAATACCTCTGAGGAGCTTGGGCGCCGCCCCCGCAAGTGCCGTGGCTGCTGTGGGGCAGGGTGTGTGCCTGAGATTGGCAGAGGAATAACTTGGGGTCATGGTTACCAGACATGCCCCTTTCAGCCCTTCTCAAGTGCACCCCTCAGGGGCCAGGCTGGGCCTCCTGCACCACCCACAGTGAGGTCCTGTGACTTCTGGAATGGCTCTCGCACCTCCCGCTCCAGCCCTGTTTCCCTACAGGCCCAGCTGGGTCTGGTACCTGGGAGCCTTTTCTTCTGGGAGCCTTTATTCCCCCCCGAGGTACACAGCGTGCAGAGCAAAGGGACTGCACACATGGGGTCTTACCTACACTGGCTTTCCTTGCAAGTTTTTGAGAGCTCCCCTCACCTCCATTGCTGGGCTGGGGGCAGTAGCCTTCCCTCCTGCAGCATCTCTCTCTCTCTCTGCCCGTCAGCCTAGGTTGGCATCTTAAGATTTCGGTGTACCCTTTGATCCTAGGTTTTGGCCTGGGGAAAATACACCTCAGCAGGCTACCAGGAGCAAAGCCAGGGGTATTCCCCCATTTACTAGTTTCCCTGCTATATCCTCCAGGACTCTGGGGAGACCGTACCTTTGCCATTGTTTCATTTCCTGTTAGTCTCCCCCGCCCCCCAGCAGCCTCGGCGCTCGGGTAGGATCATAGCACACAGGCAAGGGAGCTGCCGTTGATATTGATACACAAAAGAACTCCCTCATTCGCCACCTCTGGCCGAAGGGCGTCCGACATACCACCCTGTCTGCACGCCGGCCTGTGGATTTCAAATCGCACCTCCTAGGTTCCCTCTGCTGGCGCGTACAGATGCATCGCACCCTTCTTTAAGGGAAGTGGCTTCAGTGCTGGGTGGGGAGAAACTGGGTTGCCAGCCTGGGAGAGCAGCACCTCCTGCTTCTCTGCAGGAGATCACCACCACCAGCAGCAGGCAGGCTCTCGCCACCCCCTGGAAAAGCCCTCGCACCTTTCCTTGGGCGGAGCTCCCTTCAGACGCAGCTCCCCCCACCCCCTGGTGTCCGTTCCCCTCCGGCATTCTCCGACGAGCCTGCACCCCTGAGCGCTCAACGTGAGAGCTGAGCTGGTGTTTCTCAGCTAGTTCCCAGTGTCCTGCTCACGTTACACAAGAGGCCACCAAACCATCATTGAGGGCAGCGGGGACCTCAGTTGAACCGGGGACCGAGCCGTGCAAGGTCACAGGTTCTATCACCGATTCCCACCAGCAAGGCACATGCCCCGTCCCGTTCCTGGGAGGAGAAGCCTGCTCTGGTGGAAGAGGTTGGTGGATGGCACAGGAGAAAAGACAGTGCGGGGTCAGCTACCCTCCCACTATACAGTCCCACCCATGCTGCCTGCTGCTTTCGGTGTTAATCATTCAACTGGAGGCCTCTTCCGCTCCATCTCCTCCATGCTTTGGGGGATGGGGGCAGCGGGTGTGGTTGAGCGTCTGATAGGAGGCACCTGAGGAACGCAGTCCATCTGAAAGAGAAACCACTATGGCCTCTTATTGCTGATAGAGAATCCACTCCAGTAGCCCACAACGTGAATGCCCTGCTTCTTGAGGGTCAAGGAAGTGCTGTGTCTCAGGGCACTACAGCCTGGAATTGACACATGAAGGGAAAGGACTAGCAGCTTCTAATTAATATAATCCTCTTTGCCCAAGGTCTCTATAGACCAGTTAACCCCTCCCTAACAGCTGGGGGCTGGGGGAGAGTCTATTGTGGTTACTCCAAAGTTCTGGTTGCGAACACGGAGAGGATCCTTCCAGGAGTTTCCGTTGTCTCTTTCACCCTAACGATTGGTGCCGGTCAGAAAAACGTCAGCTTTCCATGGGAGAAGGAGGTGCCGTCAACATCGAAACGCTCCGGGAAATCGTGTCGATTTCGCCGCAATTTTGTTTCGAAGAACCAAAAGGAGAAAAGCTGCCACTGAACAGGCCCATAGTGACGTCGTCGGAACGCCACCGTTCAATGTTACCCTTGCAAAACAACGTTTCGCTTTGATTTTTTTAAAAATTGTATCAATTATAAAAGAAACAGTCAACATTGAAATGAACCAGGTTGATCCAGTCCCTCCCTCCCCCAAAACAATTTTTTTTTCCAGAATTTTCTTTTGTGGATCGTATCAAAATGGTCAGGTTTCATTCCTAAAGGGAATGAAAACAAATTGTGAAATCGCCCCAGCCTCCCTGAAGCAGCGTGTCCCGTCTCTGCACAGCCCCCCTAGTTATGGCGTTATTCCCAGGCCACAGGCCAGCACGGACCCTCTGGGCACGTGGTTCTCCCAGCTGACTTGCTGACCGCGCTGCTGGTGAAAGCAAAGCCGGCCCATTCGTTATCCCCCATCTAGCGCCTCCCTGAACAGGTCCCTTCCCTGCTTGGCGAATGCCACTACGCACTGTTCTGCAAGTGGCTGTTGCTCCATTTAGGGTGACCAGATGTCCCAATTTTATAGGGACAGTCCCGATTTTTGGGTCTTTTTTTTATCTAGGCTCCTATTACCCCCCACCCCGTCCCGATTTTTCACATTTGCTGTCTGGTTGCCCTAGCTCCATTCCCAACCGAGTCAGAGCTGCCGTAACGGGCAGACTTCCTCGCTGCCTCCCCGGCTGTCTGGGCCTGTTTCCTCCCGGCGTGCTGCATTCCTGAGAGCAATGGGCAAGAAATGGGCTCCCAGACTGGATCGAGGTTAATTATAAGATAAATGTCAGCCAAAGTGCCGGCTGCCTCCCTGGCGTCAGCCCTGCTGCGCCGAGGCACTTAGCGTCCCCCCAGAGCACTAAAAATACCTCGCCTCCCACTAAACTATCTTCGGCGTAAACAGTATATTTAGGGGGCTGTTTATTGGTAAATAGAGGCCGTTCCCTAGTGACTGCAAGCAGAGAGGCTGGGGCAGGGCTGGTTGGCCCCGGGGGGAGCCACGCCATGCTAACCCTACAAGAAGCCTGGGCAAGGGCCTACCGCGTCCCGCCTAGCTCGTGAGGTGTGTCGCCAGGGACTCCGGCTCCGCTGGCAGGAAGGCTGCGTGACGCAGGGCCGGGGAACGATAGAGGTTAAGATGGGAGTGTCTGCTCAGTGCATGCTGCTTTTGGGGACCCCAACATCCCAGAAATAGCCAAAGGGCTGGAAACATGGAAGGAGGGGTCCCAATGACTCTGGTAGAGTTAGCTGCCCACCTGGATGGTTCCTGTTTGCTCCTGAGTTTTTTGTTCTCATCTAGGGCTGCCACGGCAAGGCAGTCTCCTAAGGGAAGGGGTGGGAGCCCCATTGTCCATTCCCACCTAGCCTAAGCACTGTAGGGAACTATTCTGCCAATTTTTCCCACCCGCGTCCCAACAGTGAGATGGGCCAGAACACCAGAGGTGAGTCCTTACCTGGGCTTGGCTACGCAGCTGACTCCTGGTGTGGCCTTTGGGATTCCAGCCTGTCTCTGAAAGGCAGTTGCTGCTGGTGGCTCGGACACCTCGGCATGTGTCTACATGGCCACTAAAACCCCAGGGCTGGCCCGCGCCGGCTTACTTGAGTTAAGGGCTGTTTAGTTGCAATGTAGACGTTGGGCTCGGGCTGCAGCCGAGGCTCTGGACCTTGCAAGGGTCCTAGAGATCTACACCGCACTGCAACAGCCCCTTAGCCGGAGCCCCGTGGGCGTGAAGCAGCTGGCACCGGCCTGCCGCAGGCTTCTAATGCCAGCGTAGACCATACCCAGTGAGGGCACCACATCACCCACTCGTGCAAACCAAGATTTAACCCCCCTCCACGTGGCACTGTAAGGAGCCTTCACTTGGAGGGTCCAGAGCGGAATGGGCCCTTTGAGGGCCAAACGAAAGAGGTGAGAAAGGAGGAGCAGCTCCAGGCTAGCCCCAAAGAACAGAGCGTGGAAACAAGGCAAAGCTTTTTAAACAGAGGGTCAATAAACCGGGCGCCTTTAGGACTGGCTACTAGGAGCCTCATGACACTGCACCCCACACCGTGGCCACAAGAGGGCATTTCCACATCCCATGGGTAGGCAAGCCCCGCCCAGGGGGAGGAGCCACCCAGGCTGAGCGGGA